GGGGACAGTGGGTGGTGAAGGACCCGCTGGGTGGAGCAGGGAGGCTGCTTCAGGAAGGAGGGAGGTGCCAAGAGCTGAATGCCAGGCTGACAGGACGTGAAGCCCACGGGAGTGGGAGGGCTGGGCGGCAGGAGGGATGTTGCAGCCTGTCCCCTGGTCCAGCTCAGCTGGGGCCGCTCTGTGGGTGGCAGGAGGAGAGAAGTGACGGAGGGTGAGTCAGGCTGGGTGGCAGCTGGTCTCCGAGGGGGCCAGAGGCAGGCTGGCTCCGTGTGCTCCCTGTGGGCCCGGTCACCTCGTGTCTGAGCAGGTGCCGGGGCTGCCCGGAGCTGGCAGGGCTCCTGGGAGCCTTTGCTGGGCCCCGACAGCCCGCCGGGCAGGGGGACCGGGCTGATGGAAGAGCTTGTTTCTCATCTCTCCAAGCTGCGGGCACCTTCACTGCTGCCCCCGCCCCCGCCAAGGCCTCCAAGCCTTCCCAGCTCAGGCCCAAATCTCCTCAGGTGGTGCCTATGGGAGAATTCCAAGGTAAGGGGGAGGCCCAGGGCTGGGTCAGCCCTCACACCTTACCCGCCCCCTCCACTGGGAAACCACGGCGCAGGCTGGAGGGCCCGCCCCAGGCTCAGAGCCCCGCCCAGAGCAGCTGGGCCAAGGTGACCGGAGCCCTCTTCCCTCCAGCCCTCCCCCAGGGGAGCCGGAGCAGCATGAGTCAGAGGCTCAGTGGGCAGCACGGCAGGCCGAGCAGCCGCCAGAAATAGCCGGTCCAGCTCCCCTGGGAGGTGGCCCAGGGGCCGTCTTGGTTGAAGCAAGATCTGGGACAGGGAGGTCACTGATGCTGCTCCTCTGACCTCCGCTGCTCCTCGGGGCGCTGGGAGGGTGCCTTGCCTTCTGGTCCCTGGAGAAACAATGTGAAGGGGGCAGGTCCTGGGCACGTCTCAGGGGCCCATTTCTCCAAGGTCTCCCATGCCCTTGACCCTGACCTCTGGTCAGCCTCCCTCTCCCAGCTCAGGGGTAGCCACGCTGGCTTTCTTATTCATAGGGGTGCCGAGTCCCTTAGGAGGGACACCAAGAAATGACCCCCCTTCTTGAGTCGGGGAAGGTGGCCCCTTCATGAGGTCGTGGAATCCGCCTGCAATGCCTGGGGCCTGGCCCCGGGCGGTCACAGGGCTCGCTCAGTCCCTGGAGCAGGTGCAGGGCTGGAGGACACAGCGGGTGGCGCGGAGATGGCTGTCCCCCAGGCAGAGTCAGAGGCTCAGCCGAGTCTAGGGTCATCAAAGCGAGCAGGCCCTCTGTGCCAATCAGGCCTACAGAGCAGCCCAGGTAACCAGAGGGCCCTGCAAGTGATGGCCAGCCGTCCATCTTCCAAAGCAGCACGGGAGGAAGCTCCGGCCCCTCCGGCCGCCCAGCGTCCCTGCGGGCACCTAGGCCTCCTGAGTTGCTGGGGACACGGCGGGGACACCGTGGGCCCAGCACTGCCCTCCCTGAGCTCACACTGGCATGACCACCCTCCCTGCATGAAGCATTGCTAACCACCCTGGCATCTCCTGGGCATCCCCACGAAGAGCACCTTGCCGGGCACCCAGCAGGTGCTGCCCACCGGCCCTCCCTGGGTCCCGGCCACAGGGCCAGGTGGCAGTTTGTGGCTAAGCCCACCCTGGCTCTCCTCCGAGCTCAAATCTGGCTGCCCGTCTCTCCCCGAATGGTCAGAGGTGCTGAGGCCCAGGTCCTGTGCCAGGTCTGACCCCTGCGTGTCCGGGGGCAGGTCCCCCTCTCCCTGGGCCTCAGTTCCCCTGAAGGCACGGGTCGGGGGCAGCCGGCGGGCACGGTCTCCTTCCCTCACTGACCCCTGCTGTTCCTCCCACTCGGCCGGCCCAGACTGCGAGTGCTACGGCCACTCCAACCGCTGCAGCTACATCGACTTCCTCAACGTGGTCACCTGCGTCAGCTGCAAACACAACACGCGGGGCCAGCACTGCCAGCACTGCCGCCTGGGCTTCTACCGCAACGGCTCCGCCGAGCTGGACGACGAGAACGTGTGCATCGGTGAGTGGGGTGGCGGGGGGCTAATCCTAACCCTAACCCTGACACTAACCCCATCCCTAACCCTAACCCTATCCCTAACCCTATCCCTAACCCTAACCCTAACCCTAACCCTATCCCTAACACTAACGCTAACCCTAAACCTGTTCCTAACCCTAACAACCCTAACCCCATCCCTAACCCTAACACTAACCCTAACAACCCCAATCCTAACCTGGGAGGGCCCAGCACAGGATGTGCTGGACCATGTGCCTTGTCCGGGCGCTGGGCCAGGTGCAGGGCGCACGGAAGGCCCCGCAGTGCGTGGAGCCCCCGGGGGCTGTGGAAACTCCCGCTCCAGCTGCCTCTTTAAAGACCGAGTCCCGAGGAGGGGCACCAAGAAATGGCCCCACACCTTCCCAGCTCAGGCCTAACCCTCCGCAGGTGGTGCCTAGTGACGGTTCCAGAATCCGCTGTTAATCACCTCCACTGGGTTCTCCCGGGCACTGGGGTTTCGGAGCCCATAGCTGGGGCTGTAAACTGGTTCTAGCGCTGCCTTGCTGTGTGCATTTGGGCAATTCCCTTCCCCCCTCTGGGCCTCAGTCTCTGTAAAGTCAGGAGGTGGATAAGATCAAATGTTTCAACTCTTTCTGTGGCTGAAGCCACAAAATTATCCAACGAAATTCTTCAAAAGCTTTACAGGCAGAGCCCAGCTTCGGGCCCTGAGCTTTGTTCAAACTCCACTCCAGCACTGGTTTTGGGGACCCTGAGCCTGGGCAGGGACAAAAGGCCAAAGCCATGGCCCCAACCAACACCCCCACCAGCACGGCTCACAGGGGAGGCCAGGTCTCAGCCCCACTGCCCATCCCCCAGGCCAGCGGGGCTGGGAGCAGGGGGGCTGCCCCAGAGCTGGAGTCAGGCTGAGTTACAGCCCAGGCCTTCAGCTAATTCCATCAGCTCTGAGGGACCCACAGAACTGAGCTGCTGATGTCACGCCAACCAGATGCAGGGCCAGGCCAGGCCTCTGGATCCGATTGGAGGGCCCTGCTCCCCCAGCACCCCTCCCTCAGCACCTGTCTGCCTGAACCCCCTCCCCCAGCACCCCCTT